TTTTAAATTTATTTTTATTTATTTATTTTAAACTTTTACTCATCTTTCAACTATTTTTAGTTAAAATTACGGGAAGGGATCCTGAAAGTCAAGAAGATAATTTTCTCCCTCATACGTCACATACAGTTTTGACTGTTTTTTTTACTAAATATAAATCTAAAATCTATTGGTTTTGGAGTGTCTTTTTTTTCGATCCTTCAAAACTATAAATAGCTTATGAACATCTATGCGAATCCCACAGAAAATTCCTTTTTTCTTTTGACAGTATGTACCTCTTGAAGTGATTAAGAAGCAACTGGCTAAATCAAGATAAACAAGACATTGCTTTTCGTGATTTTAAACATGTGGAATGCCACATCATCATTTAGTTGGCTCAAAGATATGTGCCACTCTGAGAAGCACAATATTTTAACATGTGGCAATACTTTAAATGCAAAATCGTTAAATCGTGCATCTCTTTTTAAAATTAACTCCTGATTGAATGTAATACAATAAAATGTTGCGAAAGTTCATTTGTGTAAAATATGAAATTAAGGCGGCGCAGAAGGTAAGTAAACGACTGACTGTAAGCACCTGGCGAAATATTGCTGCGATGACTACCCATGTGACGTCACGTCAGTCGACAGGTCTTATACTAGTGTCTAGGTGGTATTCCCTGGACTCAAAATAACCACGGGTACTGGTGTTGAATTGAATTGAATTGAATTGAATTAAGGCCTTATTTTACGTGGCGAGACCCGGGCCATGAGGCCCGCTCTTCCGTCTGACCACGCAAATTTCGCTACGCTCCTTTCACCAACTAGCGGAGAAAGGGGGTGTTTCTTGGGCGACGAAACAGACAATTTGAATTTAGCTCAGAGGCTTCACTTGGGCTTGAGGATCTTTTTACATGCAAGTAAACCTACTAACATGGGACAGCCGGCTTTACTTCCCCTCCGAAGGAAGGAGTACGGAGGATTTTTTCGCCCTTGTTGGCGGGTTTAAACCCTCCAACTTGGGTATAACAGTCCGATACGCTAACCATTACACCATCGCCAGCGCATACTTTAATTTCCGCCACATCGATAGATATATTTAGATTAGATATCTATTGCGACGACTTTTGCACACATCATAAGTCTCGATTGGTGGAAGGGAAGTGGTCTAACCGTGAGTGACGGAACACCCCACACACACACACACACACATTGACATACGCACACTCGCAGTTACTCAAATACTTTATTGGGATTTACAGTACGTACGGTAGAGAGAGATATGACTTGCTGCGGAAAATCGATTTCGAGATTTCAACGGAAATACACGTTTTGGGGTCTCCTGCTGCCGAAAAAGATGATTTCTTCTTTCATTTCAAAACGTCCGTCTGACTGTCCAGGATCAACACTAGCGTCTAAACTATATGCGTAGAATGTTTGCCAAAATGGATATTCCCCGGTTGATCGGAGTTTTTTCGATTTTGAAAATCATTCTTTAAAATTTGGAATTATATTACATGAAGCTCCATGGACATTTTAAAGATTTTCTCCAAATTGGCTCCAATTTTCTTTCTTTATCGAAATAATAGAGTAATATGTGTTCGTAGGCTTCCCCGGCCGGAGTTAATACATTCTTGGCTATCTGGGAAGAACCGCGTCTCATGATTCGCGTCAATTGAACTGACGTTTCGGCCAACTTGCTGTGGCCTTCTTCAGCAGTAGAGCTCTTGTCTCTCACGTCATCGTTTACATTAGCAGCGATTGGTTCACATTATTGCATTTATGCGCTATTAAGTCAGTAATGCGTTTATTAAGTCAGTAATGCGCTATTAAGTCAGTAATGCGTTATTAAGTCAGTAATGCGCTTATTTGCGGACGACTGCATAATTTATCGGCGAATAGATTCGGATGAAGATATTCTCACACTTCAAAACGATCTTAATAACATTCATTCCTGGGCTACCATTAATAAAATGAAGATAAATGCCGTAAAAAGTAAATCACTAAGCTGTTCGAAATCAGCAAAGAAGGTTTCTTTAGAATACCAAATGGGAGGCGTATTCATTCCACAAGTATCGTGTTGTAAGTATCTGGGTGTCATATTACGCCAAGACTTGGGATGGGGGACGTTACTTCTATTGCCCGAAAAGCGTGGAAATCACTACACTTTGTAATGAGAACACTTAAAAAGGGAAACATGGAGAGTCGAAAAATAGGATACACATCTTTAGTTAGGCCGATTCTTGAATACGCATCAGCTGTATGGGACCCATACAGATTAGATCAGATTGAAGAGTTGGAAAAAATCCAAGAAAGCAATCAAATTCATAAATAAGGGATCTTTGAGTAGTACAAATCCACCAAAACCAATAGAGGCTCTCAGTGTGCGAAGAAAAAAAGCCAGATTGTGCTGCCTCTTCAAGGTGTACAGTAAGTCACCTGCATGGGCAGAAATAACGAAAAGACTAGACTCCCCTTCAAGAGTTGGGAGAAACGATCACAAATGCAAAATAAAAAGTAGATGTCAGAGATCCGACGTAGGGAAATATTCATTTGTAAATCGTACGGTTAAAAATTGGAATGAAATCCCTGCAGCGGTCGTAGAGCCTTTTCCTGGTTCTGTTGGTGTTTTTAGAAGACGACTTAATAAGTACTTGTAGAGGATGTATTTTACCGCACAGCTCAGAATACACAATTTGTAGATTATTATAGATAAAGTGTAGTGTAGTGTAGTGCAGTACATTGCAGTGAAAAGCTACTTTAATTAGTTATTTGGCATAACCAAAGAAAGATGTAGTGAAATTGTAGTGTAGTGTAGTGTAGTGTAATGTAGTGAAGTGAAGTGCGACAGTAGGTGGGGAGCAAATCTAAATGCTTAAAGAGCTAACTTTAAACATCCACATTGTGTTTATATCTAAAAACAAATTGTGTAACTTGTTAATTTTATGTATATGTATATATGTTTACTAGGTGTAACTAAATATATGTTCTTCATTTATATGTAGGCATATATAATATGTAGGGCAAGTGTGTGTGTGTGTGTGTGTGTGTGTGTGTGTGTTCGTGTTTATGTGTGAACGTGAGAGTGAGCATTATGTATAGGAATGTGTAGTGTTATGTATATATATATATATATATATATATATATATATATATATATATATATATATTATATATATATATGTGTGTGTGTGTGTGTTGTGTGTGTATGGGTGTATATATGTGCCATAGATGTATACAGGTTTGTGTATGTTTATATATTGAGTGTATATGCTCGAAAAGGAGTGTATTGTAAATTGTTTTTATATGGTAAATTGTTTTTGAATTATAAATGTTCATATATTGTAAAACTGTAGGGTTATGGCTACCACCTGGGAATCAGCCAATTGTTGCCAAATAAATATATTATTATTATTATTATATATGCTTCAAATGATGTCATACAAAACTAAAATTTTACTGTGAAAATAAATTCAAAATTCCGAAGTATTCAGAAATGTTTAAACGCAATTTTCTCAAAAACGGTTCCAAACTTTTCGAACAGATTGTGCTAATTGCACTGTTTAAGATGACATAAAAATTGGAATTCTTTTATTTTTTCAAACATTTTACACATGTAATTTTTTGAAATATCTCTCGCGCTTTTAAAATACACATTTCCAGCGACTTCTAAACATTATTGTATTTGTGAGTGGAATGACGTCCAATGTAGTTTTTCGAAAACTCAAATGTTTTCCATGAAATATAACTTCAAATTTCGCACTTACGGAAACGCATGAACGCTATTTTTGTTAAAAACTGCTCATTTCTCAAAGAAAGTTTCCTTATACGACGAGGTTTCATTCTTCTTCAATATTCTTAGATTTATATTTCGATTCTACTAATAGAAAACCGAAAAATTGAAAAGAAAAAAATTAAAAATGTTCCTGAGGGCGGCGATAGGTAGTAGCTGGCAAAAGTAGAAACGAAAAGCTAGTCCAGACCAAAGAAATTAGAAAGCCAACTAGTACGAAAAGGTTTGTGCCATTGTGTTGCACGGACATATGTGGATATGATTAGTGTCTCCTTAAATTTTTAATAAAATATTGAACAAGGCGCTACGCGGCTTACATGTAACGAAATCGGTCTTCCTTGCGGGGAGGCAGTAAGAGAATGCGCTGGCCTAAGCACATCGCACGTGCGCCAAGTACGGACACAGCATGCTACTGTTTTATGATGTTGTAGGCTTCGGCGGCCAGTCGTGATCTGGACTCTCCTGGTGGCGCCGCGACGAAGGCTGAGATGCCAACATTTCGATCAACAGATTATGGTCTTCTTCAGCACTACAGCCCTGAGAGCCGGTCATGAGAGTTTGTGCACGCCATACGGACAGCACTATCGACCTTGTGCGCATGCGCGTATGCTCTAAAGTGATGCGAAGCTTGAACTGCGCATGCGCAAAGATCGATAGTTCTTTAACGTTCGAGGATGCACAAACTTTTTCATGATACTGTTCTATACACGCTAAAGGTCTTTTCTCGGAATATGATGTGAGGCGAGGCACCGCCCCGGCGTGTCTACCCAGAGAGGCTCAAGAGGGCGCAAGATTACAATATTCTCTGGACGCAAGTTGCGGGAAGAGAACGATAATGAAATGTTCATTATACATTTCCCGATGAATAAACATTTACATCATATTCAAGTAGTAAGATAATTTTGTTTATATTATGAATTTATTATATTAAACTAATAGCTATACATCAGTGCTGGCAGTATTAATAACTTATTTTTGTAACTACAGTAGCCTCCGTCAGACGGTGAGAAGGACAACAATTGATTGGACGCGATATTCCTTTTAGTAAGCAAGTTAACATAGTATTTAAAAGCTGAAAATTAAAAAAATCACAGACACTAGATATATTTATATGTATTGATGAAGTTTCATGATGTTTGTGATATGATGCAAGTTTATCCTTACATCATGATGGGGACATGGAAGAATGTTGACCTTCCTTGGTTGGATGTCTGTATTACTGTTTTCTCTTTGCGTGGATGCGCTTCTATCGATTGTTCATGGGGTCGACAATGTAAGGCAAGCTATCCGAAGTACGGGAGATTTTACGTGAATTGTGAAGAAATATCGTTTTTTAACGGAAGTTAGCGTTGAATCATTGTAACTTCCTATCTCCTTATTCAATTTTGTGTCTCAAAATAACTTCTAGTACTCAGTAAGTGTTGATTTCGCTGAATATATCTTGCACAGTGTCTTGGTCTAATTGGTTTTGGTTTTTGTGCCTCAGTATCCACTCAGAATCTTATAAAATATAAGCATTTTTTTAATTGTACAGGTGGGCATCATGGCAGATGCGGAGCAGTTTTCACTGCGTTGGAATAATTTTCACAGTAATTTATCTGAAGGCTTTCATTCATTGTTGGAAGAAGTTGACCTAGTAGATGTCACTCTGGCAGCAGAAGGGCAATATTTGCAAGCGCATAAACTTGTTTTATCCGTTTGTAGCCCATACTTCAAACAACTTTTTAAGGTATGAAAAATATTTAGATTCTTGATTTGAAGTGAAAAAATGTTATATTATTGAAAAATTTGTTAATTTTGAATATTTATCTTGCAGGCAAATCCTTGTAAACATCCCATTGTTATATTGAAAGATGTATGTCATAAGGATTTGGAAGCTCTTCTGCAATTTATGTACCAAGGTGAAGTTAATGTACGGCAAGAAGAATTGGCACCATTTCTAAAGACTGCTGAAATGTTGCAGATAAAGGGACTTACTGGCAACGATTCCAAATCTGTAAGTGTTTCAGAAATGTACTTCATGTAAGATTTATTTTTCTTGGTTAGATCTCAAATGCTTAATTGTATTTCATTCCAGAATATGCCAGAATCTCCAAGTCAAACCCGTGTTCAAACTCCCCCTCCTCCGACTCTCAGAGTTGGACGGGATTCTGTTAAGCAGGAATCGCAAAATGCTGCTGAAACCTCTCGTCCCTTCAAAAGACAGCGCACAGAATCCCCTCACATAGGAACAGGATCACTCACTTCCAGTGCTGCAACCCTCAGTGCCCCAGCAACGACTGCCACTACCTCTCAGCCATCAGCGATGAGCCCGACAGAACCTGCAAATGTGGAATTTGTGCCTATATCTAACCCCAAACTTGAACCTTTGGAATATGACAATGAAGCAGATGGCAACAAGGAGTCACCAGCAGATCTTGTGCAGCTACTTCATAGCAATGAATCCAGTCAACCTCCTCCGGATTTGCCTCCAGGTAATTGAATCCTTGCAGTTGCACCTTCTATGATAGTCATGGAGATTGTTCTGTGATGTTAATTGTGTTCTTCCTTGAATCCAATTTCTTGTATTGCCATATTGGGGTTTACTATGCAATTTCTTTGTCATTGTGATGTGTTTGTTTACAATTTTTAAACCAATGCATCATGATATGTATTACTAATGCAATTCTTGGAACTCTTAAAACTGATTTCAAAATATCTTATTTAGACATATGTAACTATATTTGTCAAATATTTTAAATGCAGTAATAGCCAAAATTGTAATTTGACATTAATTCCTGTGTTGGAGATCATTAATTCCTGTGTTGTTATCAAGATTTGAGAAGCTAGAAAATTATTAATTTCAGACAATAACTGTGCAATGGTCACCAGAATGTTTTAGCTTCTTAATTTGTTTTAGTTCAATCAGGAAATTGATATGTAGGGTTAAACTTAAAATTTTAATTCTAACATCTCTTATGTTTTTTTTCCACTTTTTGTTTTGTGTCCTTGTTTCACTATGCATGAAAATAGCTCTTTTTCTTAACTTCTACCCAGGTATGCATGTAGTAACATCGACATTATTTCTGATTGTGTATCTGTGACCATTGAATAATCTTATTTACTCTTACACATGGTATTATTCCAAGAAAATTTATATTTGGGAGTGAATATATTTTGTTACGAAGAAGTTGGCCAACTGAGATGTAATAATAACAATAATATTCTTGTAATTTATACTAAAACATTTCTTTCCTTTTCCTTGGTAGATAAATTCTAAATTGTGTTTATTTTCAATACTGACTTTGATTACAACAAATCAGAATGTGAAAATGGCAAATATGTTGATTAGTTAGGTACAGCATTCTGAAAATATAAATTTTCAATAATAAATGTGTACATCGATTAATTAAAAATCAATTATTAGTAGATGACTTACCAACCTTTTTTGAGTAGCTTGTGATAAATTTGTTTAATTTTTATATAACATTATGAATGGTAATTCTCCAAAAATGGTTTAAATCTAATTTTAATGTTTCAGCTCATTAGAAAGATCCAATGTACATTCTATTATTTAAAAACTGCACAACTTTCACTTCAATTTATGTGTTACTATTCCTCGTTAAAATTCTTATTAAGTAAGTTATTATTTTAAAAGCTAATTATTAGCTGTGTTTTTGCTGCATGTGAAAGAATCCTGAAAGATTGTCCAATGAATTTAAAATTCTCTTCGATGGGGATCAGATCTCAGTGGAACCTGCTCATGACCTAATCCTGAATAATAATGGTAATTGCTAATATGTGCTACTACACTCATTAAAATAGTTGCATAATATTGTGTAGTGAAATGTTCTTTTCAAATGTCAGTGCACAGTATTTTAAAGAATAGTTACCCAATCTTCGTGGATGTTTTGATGAGTTAATTTAGTTTGTTTTCATAACTCTTTGAACTTCCAGATCTGTTTCCTTTTCAGTTGTTGTCATCATTCATAAGTTGTCAGAAAACTTAAGTATCATTTGAGGGAAGAATGAAACAGATGTCAAGTTTGGACTAGAATGAAAAAGGCGGATAAAAATTATTTTATAAACTTGAAGTTCAAAGAGATTCACTGTAAATTTCTGATTTATCACCATCACACTTCCGATTTCTTTGAAATTTTTACTTACATGTTACTTTAAAACAAAAGAAAAAACACGCATTTTTGGTCTGGTATTCTGAAACTAGCAGGTCTTCCTGAAAGCCTAAAAATGAGATACTTTTGTTGGTACTATAAATGAATAACTTCACTTCATACACTAAGTTGATAATAGGTTTTTTCACGTATATTATTCAGTTCATCTTAATGTTCTCAGTTGTTGAAGTATGAAGCTCGTGCTGCAGTGAGATTGACCATTACCACTTCAAAAGTATATGTTGTCAAATATAAATATAGAATTTCAGAACTGTAGTAAGGGAAATGAAAAATTATCACAAATTACTGACAAATTGAAATCAGATTGAACGAAGGGGCAGGGCAACAATATCACTTGTTTTAGAGCAATTTATTTTGGAAAGCTTGGTTATAAAATAATTCTTTAACATCCATATTTATAGGATTAGTAAGGGAAGCATTTAGTTGCCATTTATGTCATTTCAGAGTTCAATTTAAATTCAGTTGATTCATGTTTAAAAAAATAATTTATCTACTGATTGGAAAAGGTTATGGTAGGTAGGTAGGTATGGTATGGTAGGGTAGGTAGGTAGAAAAAACCATATAAATAAAATTAATTTTGTTGGTTGTGTTCAGAACTCAAATATTTACATTGAAACAAATTTAACTTTCCAAAGAAGGTTTTTTTCTTTTTAAAAGTCTTGTTACTTGCAAAATAACATCACAAATGTCCCATGGTCTTCTTTCTTAATGTGATTATGTAACTCAAAATAGTGGCTCCATTGCCTTGACTTACATTATTGTTTACATGAACTGCCTTAATTGAATCAGTGATTTTAATAGGAAAATAAGTCCTCTTTTTCTTAGAGTTGAGATGTGCATTTTCTTTGTTATTTTTCAATTTATTGATCAGTGCAGCAATGAAACTTGTTCAGCTTAAAGTATGTGTTATTTTGCCAACTAAAAATTCAAATGTTTGCAAAAGAGAAAGAAGTCCAGGACTAGTTTCTAATTCTCACTCAGAAGAACCAGTATTATCAGCTAGGAGATGCCTGTCATGAAACTAAATGCTTCGTGACAACAGTAATAGCCACTGAGGACATTGTAGATGTCGAAACCTGATGGTTGAACTATTTTAAGAAGACAGCAAGTCCCTTGCTCCCATTAGTGTGGCTCTTTCCAAGTTATGCAGATAATGTATAATAGAGAATATTTTGGTTGGCTTGTGCGTACATTTGTTGAAGGGCTTAACAAGTACTCATTGATTCAGGAACTCATCAAATTCAGGAGTTCAAGAAGTCATTTAAAAGGGGCGTCCAGATTTGCATTTCAAGAAAGTTGGTCTTAGCTGTTCTTCCTGTAAAAGGAAAGAAAGAAAGTTATAAAGGAAACATCCAAGGTACAAGAAAAGTTGGGATATATCTTAAAATTTTGTGCAGCAAGAATGCAAAAATTAGATGTGTGGAGGATATTACTGCAGAAATGTTAAAAAATTATACATATTCACTGTATAGGAAATATAAGACTTAAGGTTTTGATGACTTAAATCAAATTATTTTTAAAAAAGATCACTGATTTTATACATTTTTATTAAGTTGTTAAAATAAAAAAATTTGTTATGTTTCTTTCACAAAACTAGGAATTATGAAATGTATTCAGAAATGCAGGTGTAAATAATTCATATATGTAACTAAAACTTTTATTCAGAACGAACACATTAAAAAAACACTATATTTGAAGACCAATTTAACAATGATTTAACAACAACTATTACAGATTATTCTTAGGATTCGTTCTTTATATAGAAACACAAGCATGGCAACCTTTTCAACTCCAAATGAGGCGTTCCTCAATGTGAATTGTGAGAAAGTAGCTTAGCTTAGAATTAGTAGAAATAGCTTCCCCAGCCTTTGAAATTAAACCATAGCCTGATAGTATGCATACAGGCATGTACAGTTAGTAGCAGTGCTAAGTTTTTTCTTGCAAACATCTTACACTCTTTTATTCTGCATTCTAAGTGTATGGTGTCTTTCATTAGGATAGTTTTTTAATGCATTCGCCTCAACTCCAGGTACATAAAACAATTTTTCAAGTAATAGTACTTGACACAATATTTACTGCCACAAAATTTAAGCTTAATTAAGGCAAGACGTAGTCCAGACATTCTCAAAACTCTGAGAATTAGTATTTATCTCCATTCACCAATAATTTAAATTATATCTTTTTATTTTAAAATTAACAACAATGTTTAGATACCTGAACCGCAGTGATACATAAAAAGTACCACAGATGGTCAGTATAGTGTACTAGACACCTCATTGCCAGTTGCTTTTGAAGGATCCAGGGGTGGGGGAGAGTTTGTCTTCATCTAAATATCACTGCAGCTAATATTTACAACTTAGTAAAATATAAATATTAGTCTTTGTGTTTAGTTATTGAATAAATAAATTCAACAACTGTCAAATACTTTTTCACTCAACAATTACTTATTCTCTTTAAAAACAAATAATAAGGAAAACTTCAAGCTTACAATATGTGTTTTAAAAATAACTGCACTAGAATTTTGGGAATCAAAAGAGACCTTTTATGTTATTCATCACAACAATTACAACTAACCTAGTTTTTAAACACATCAAATTATAGGTTTGAAACCAATTTCAGTTTTTAAATTTCAAAAATAGTGATTTTTAGAAATGCTAAACCCCCCAAAACATTGTTTCATATTGTTCAGTATTAAGTCTTGAAGACTGATGAAATGAGATACGTTTACAAATTGTGGAGCAATACAATTGCTGTTCACTGTGAATACAAATATTGCTTTCCCACTTGCACATTAATTTGCATCAGGATACGTGTCCAATTGGAAGCTCAATAATTCTTCAACATGAATGAAAACTTTCTGAAGGGATGATCGCATACAATGCCACAAAGCAACATTTTTGCTGTAATAATCATTGAATGCTTCGATCTACTGTGAAATCGAAATTTATTATTAAGTGTTGTTGCTAAATGATGAATGATATATTCGTAAATGACTAATATTTTTTGATCTTTTAGCTCATTCAATGCATCATCATTATTTGAACCCGAGACATTTTTTTAAAATTTTGGTCACTAGAAGGACCATTTTTCAAGAAAATTCGTAATTTATTTTTCCTGTTGAATTCTTCTATCTCTCATCTGCCATATTCTTATTACTTGAAGGGGAATCTGTTTCAGTTACATGTGTTTGTGTTATCTTGTAGCAAAACAATTCAGATTATTACAAAGCATTCTTTGGGTAGGAAGATAACATAATTTGTGGAACCTTTGACCATGACAACATTATCAAATGATCTAAGAAC